CTTCGGAGTTTGTGGACGCTTCAGTAGAGGGGTCCCATCCCACTTTCTCAGGTAGCCCTGCCCCCTCCCTTCCCATGGTGCACCTCCCGGGTCATCTATCATGTTTCAGACATTGCTACTTCCAACAGTCGCTTCTGCTTCAAAAAGTAGCTTAAAATAACGACCAATGTGTTATTTCTGTCAAAACAGCCCTGGGTGATGTCTGCAGACTGGCAGCTCTGAGCCTCTTATCCAGCCCTGTCTGGTAAAGCTTTGCGCCCACTGGGATGGAGCTTTTCCATTTGCTTCCAGACGATTCTCTACAGAAGCTGCTTGTGATTGTGAAACCCTTGGCCCACAACCTGTCAACCACAGAGGGGCTTGGGGAGAGCCATTTGTTTCCTGCACGAAAGACCAAGCCCTCTGCCCTAGAGGGAGCATGGTGTCATCCTAACCCCCAGCAGAACAAGCCAAAATCAAGGTCGGTGCTGCTGAGATGGTTCAAACTGGTGGCCACCCCGTGTGGTCTGGCGTGGAACTGTGCCATGGGTTTTCTAGGCAGGAATCTTGGGGGGGTGGGGGGCGGAGATTGCCAGGCCTTTCTTCCGCGGAGTCACTGTCATTTCTTCCACCAGGAACCCCAGTCCACTTCTGATCCTCTTCCATGTTAGTAGAGGCCTAAGCCAGTCTTGTCTCTCTGTAAGGAACTGAACTAGAGTGTCTCCAAACTTCCCCAAGCATGATGCAACAGAGAGCCACGAACCGAACCCTCGTCTGGGCCACTCGGAGGCCTTGTATGGCATTGTTTCTTACTCTGGGGTGTGCTTGGCTGACATGTCTGGGCCACCGCCTCCTCTGTCACAGCATTCTCCGGGGACTTGCTTTTTAAATTCAGAACCAACTCTGCAGAGCTGGCTGTCAGTTCTCAGTGAGTCTGCTCGGAGAGGGCTCTCACTTTGCCTGACATCTGGCCAGCTTTAATTGACGGTCTGGTCTGATGGGGGGGAACTGGAGATTGACAGCAGAAGCAAACACTTTGGCCAAACGGAGAGTTTCCAACCCACACCCACATCCCAGGCAGTGGACTTTGGTCAGAGAGCCAGAGTGTTTCCTCCAATCATGGTCAAGGACAGGCACGTTGGACTGTGCAGCCACCATGGCCTTGTCCGTTCCGCCTTTGACCTGGGTTTCTCAACCTCGCCATGGTAACATTTAGGGTTCTACAATTCGTTGGGGAGCACGACTGTGCATTGTAAGATGTTAAGCAGCATCTCTGGCCCCTACATTTCAGTTCCCATCAGCACCAGCACCCCCACTCTCTGCCCTCTTGTGACTGCCCAAATCACTCCTGACACCCCCACATATTCCCTGTGGGTCAGGTCCCATGACTCCAGACTCTGGGTCTCCTCTTTCTCCGGATGCTGTCACTCTGTTCAGGATAGTTGACATTGTAAACCATGTAATTGCAGGGAGCTGGGAAGGTATTGTAACCCCCTGATATTGTTGGGTGCCCTGCTGTGGATCATCAACCCGTATTGGTCCTTGTGACCTAGTAGCATGGAGCCCTAGGGCTTTTTTGATGGTGACCTTTACGGCCACAGGTCACCAGGTCTTTCCCTAACTGAGCTGCGAGTGGTGGGGTGGGGGTGGGGTTTGAACTCCCCACCTTGTGGTTTACAGCTGAGCACTTTACCCTCTGTACCACCAGAATACCCTAGATGTTTGTGAAACATTGAGTAGCTCACCAAGCAGCCACCCCTGCATAGTTTGCCTGTGGTCACCAAAGATTCATTGTTTAAAAAGGAATATTTTAATGATAAGAATTGATATTTATTGAAGGCTCATATTATGAGCCTGTGCCTGTCTGTGCTTCCTAGGAGGGATTTCTGGTGGCACTGTGGGTTAGGTTACAGGCTGTCAACTGTGAGGTTGGTGGTTTGAACACACCAATTGTTCTGAAGGGGAGAGACGAGGCTGTTTGTTCCTGTAAAGACTTACAGTCCCTGAAACCCTATAGAGGGGGGTCTCTATGAGTCAGGAGGGATTTGATGGCAGTAGGTTTGGGGCTTACCATGTGGGGCTCTGTTGTGAGCACAATCCACATGCTGAGGGTGAAGTGGTCATTGGTCCACATTTGAACAGAGGGGGAAATTGAGGCAGAGTGTGTCTGGGCAGATTACCTGTGCTTATGTAGCGTGTGTGAGTGCTGCAGCCGGCTTCAGCCTTCAGGGAACCCATTAACCATCATGCCGTATGGTGGCTGATGATAAGATTCCAAGTCACAAGGGAGGACTCGGCATGGCAGGCAGAGGGGCTTCCCCAGCTCCCTCCAGCAGGACTGGTGAAAGTGACAATGTCCTACCCCTTGGAGTCTCTGGGACCGGTCCCAGGACAGATAGCAAATGAAGCAGCTATTCAAGAAAATCTCAAATCCAGTAAGAACAAGGATGATCAGTCTTGAACCTAAGTCACCCCCTCTTTGTCCTTCCTAACTCAGCCAGACTGGTGCAGCCAAGAGGCGATGAAAATGTCCTCCAGTGCCCGGTGGCAGTGGACACGTCTAGCTATCATTGACCGACCAACTTTAAATGGATCGACTGGCTGACACGTGAACTCCGTGTTTATAAAATGCTTTAAAAAATATCAAGACAGGGGCCCATGTGCAGACCTCAGCCCGGCCACCCAGTCCTCAGCTCCAAGAAGACCAGGCTGTGTGTTTCCCGCCTGCCCCTTCCTATCACCCTGCTCCTTCACGGCAGTGCGATCGTTTCCCCGAGTCCGTGCGACTGTTCTAAACACCAGCCTTACGGTGTTTGCCAGAAAAGGAGAAGGGTAACAAAGCAGAAGGACATCACGGTTTCTGCACAGGAAACTCTCAAACCAAAAACATAAATAAAAGCAAACTCGCTGCCCCTTCAGGTCAACAGCTGCTCATAGCGATCCTACAGGACCTGGTACAACTGCCCAGTGAGTTTCCGAGGCTGTTAGCTCTTCTTGATGGGAGCGGGAGGCCTTTCTCCAGACACCAGAAGAGTAAGGTGACCAGACTTTAACATTGTAAACCGGGACACCATTGATAAGACTCCTATCCTGGCAAAATAGCCGCCTGGCAGCTGAAAACCGTATACCCTAGCTTGTCATGCATTCTTTCCAAAAATCGGACGTTTTTAAAATTCTGTGGTACACGGGACAAATTGTTAAAAATTGGGACTGTCCCGCCAGAAGCGGGACATCTGGCCACCTTACATAAGAGGTCACTGATAGCTTGCAGGTTTCCATCATTAGGAGGCTGGCTGCCTTCAGGTGAAGAAGGGCTGGCTGTGTCATACCGTCTGGGCTCTTCTCATGGATGTCTGGTTGTTTGGCCGTGTTGAGAAATGAGACCTGTTCATGAAGTCACCGTCACCCTTTCAGAATTAGACCCTGAACAAGAAGCCCACCCTGGAGAGCAGTGAAGGGCCTGTGATTCACACTCACAAAATCTGATCTTTCTTTTATGACGCTTGGAGGTGCCAGGGAGCATTGCCAAGTCTTTGTTAGAGGTGCCACGTATACCGTTTGGACACAGCGTCACTGCCGAATCGAGAGTTTGCGTTTTAGAGGGTCTTGACTCGTGGAGGCATTATACCCACCACCATTTGAGGTGGAGGTGTTTCCAGAAGTGCCTGTTAGGTGATACTCCAATATTTGCTTACCTGGTTCCTTCGGGGCTGGGCCAGGAATGGACTGGCTGGGGGTGGGGGGTGCAGTGGTTTGGTCCTGTCCAAGGATGATGGAGAGAGTTTCACCATGGAATTCTTAGCCAAGTTGTCCATCTGCTACAGCTGGACGCTGAATTCCACATCCCCACTGCCTATTAAAAGTAAGACTGTCCCCAGAATTTGAGCTGAACGTGCTGTGGGGTGGGGAAGGGCAGCTGACCCGGCATCCTTATCTTTAGCCCCTTAGTCAGACTTGGTCTTGTTCAGCTACGTCCTTGTAAGCCAATCAGAACATATGGATCAAGAATAGAAAATCGAAATGCATGCAGAAACCATGTCAGGGAACCAGGAAGCTTCATGTGCCTTGACATTTTGTTCTGAGGTCAAGGAATTCCCTCTTCAAGTGATGATAAGATAGGGAAGATTCTAGAATGTCACTTACATTCAGAACTAAAAAACAAAACAGACCATAAAGCTTGTTGGGCAGTAACAACAGCAGATATCCACCACATCAAATGTCTTAAAACCAAATAGATAAATATCCACTTTATCTAACCGGAGGTGAAGAAGCCCTGGTGGCACAGTCGGTTGTGTGTTGGGCTGCTAGCTGTAAAGTCAGCAGTTCGAACCCACCAACTGCCCTGAGGAAGAAAGATGAGGCTGCCTGCTCTCATAAAGATTGACAGCCTCAGAAACCCTTCATGGGGCGGGGGGTTTGTGAATCAGAGTGGACTCACTGGCAGTGTTTTTTCTTTGTAATTTGGGTAGATAAAGGTACCCTTCCACACGCAGCTCCAATCGTCCCTCTGCCTTAGGGCTGTGGTCTCCCCAAAGTTAGAGCAAGTGGCTTGCGCTATCCTTAAATGCTCCCACAGCGCTTTTCTCAAGGCCCTGATATAGCACGTGCCCAATGTGTTCGCATTCATCTATTTTCACGTCTGTCTTCCTGCCTGGATGCTCAGGTCCTGTGAGAGAACAATCCACCTTATATCGCAGCACCTGGCATGTGTGGGCTGGTACGTAGGAGACACTCAATCTGTGTCTGTTGGAGGAATGAGTAATAGGAGCGCTCAGTACTTGCATCTTCACGCTGGGCCAGGAGAGGACACAGCACCCTCAAATAGCTCCAAGTGCTTCACACCAGGCAACTCCCCACAATGATCTAGAACTAGGGGTTGGGGGGCACCATGCTTTTTAAAGTTTGCCTCCTTCACCCGCATCACCTCCTCTCCCTCCCTCCTTTGTCGTCTCATGAAAAGATGTGTCTCCATTGCCTTTATGTCCAGGTCTTTCTGAAGAACGTCTTTCCCTTCTTTCCAGGCGGGCATTAACGAGAACGACCTCTACGACGGCGCCTGGTGCGCCGGACGGAACGACCGCCATCAGTGGCTTGAAGTGGACGCCAGGCGGCTGACCAAATTCACTGGCGTCATCACACAAGGAAGGAACTCGCTCTGGCTGTGAGTGTGGTGGGGCCAGCGCTTTT